AGAAAAATTTAATAAACAGGAAATGGTCATAGTAATAAGTGTTAACATGCCTGCCCAGCCGTAACATACTCATGGTCGTCGTGGCTGAACGAGGTGCAATATTCTGTCTAACTCGGACCAGCCGAGCGAGAACTTCAGTCGTGTCCGTCTTTGTGCTATGGAGGTAGTGGCGGCGGTTGGTGTCGCTGGAGGTGCGGGAGTCAGTCCACCTCGAGCCGCCTGAAGGAGCCCGTGACGGTGGAGATGCCGGTGCAGGTGTTGGAGTTGGTGGTGGTGCGCCGCGTCACGATGCCCTGGTCGCTCACGAGCTTCATCTCGTCCAGGCGCATGAGCATCTTCTGCTTCGAGGCGATCTCCTCCTTCCAGAGGTCTGCAACAGACGAGATGACGGGTAAGTGTCAGGAAAGGCCCGTTTTTGTTATTTTTTTATTATTTTTTTGCTGGGGGTGGGGGGCGGCTGCACGTTCGAGGTCACTCACCGATCATCTGCGCCATGGGCATGTCGCCGCCGTACTCCCTGGGCAGGCACTTCTTGTCCACGTGCTTGCGGAGGTCATCCACGCTGTCGTGGATCTGGTAAAAGCGAGCACAGTGGTGTTAGATGGGTACATTTGTGGATACGAAAAGGCGAGCATGGCGAGGAAGACGCCATGGGATCATCCAGAAAGCACGTCCGTTTTTCACAGATTCATTCGACAAAATTTACTGGAGCTCGGCGCCTGCGAGAGTCAGGGTAGGCCACCCCGCGGCACACCCATGCACTGCAGGCAGGATGTTGCCTACAGACCAGGCGCTATGAGAGCGGGCATGGGCCGAGCTTGGCGCAACGGCAAAATGACGGACTTTCTGGATGACCCTTTGTGCCGTGGTGCTCACCAGGAACCGGGTGCGCATCTTCTGGCTAAACCGACTGCGGCAGAAGTCGTACAGGTACTTGAGGGGCGCGGGCAGGTTGAGGAAGTGGATCTGCTTGTGCCGCATGGGCATGGATTGCTGTGGACACAAGGAATCAGAGGTGTGAGTCCGGTGGGGGAGCCGAGGTCGGAACAGGTCGCGCGGTAAGCGGGTGGCTTCCTTGATCGCTTACCTCGCCCCAGCGCAGGCAGTGCGTGAACTCGGTGGGCGACCAGAGGGTGACGCAGGACGGCGACAGCCCCTCGAGGTCGGCGAAGTGGGTGAAGCCCATGACCTGGTTCTCCTCGTCGTCGAGCAGGGTCTCGTAGGTGATGCAGTGGGCCTTGGCCATGTCGATGTTGGTGAAGCGGCTCGGGTCCATCCGCTCTGTGGGTAGAGTTCATCAGGGTGAGGCGGAATAGGGGTAGCAGAGCGACCGGCGGGGCGCCTACACTGGAAACGCTAGTGTGTGAATGTTACACACTTGTATGTCTGTGAATGACCATTCGTACACTTACGACGGGAGTAAAGATGTGAATTTTCCTTTGAAAATTCGCACACTTGTGCCTTTGTGTACGAATGACGTTCACGACACACCTATAAGTGTGAGACATTCGCACACTTGTGTTTCCGGTGCAGAGACCAACTCAAAGTCGAAAACTCACTGCCGATGCCGATGATGACCCTCCTGCCGTGGGCGTCGCGGACGGGCGACGCGAAGATGTAGCCGCTGTCGATGAGCTCCTCCACCTTGGACTGGCTCGCGTCCAGGTCGAACAGCAGGTGCGAGAAGGTCTGCCGCATGTTGAGGTACTTGAGCAGGGTCTGCTGCGCCATGGGCAGCGAGAACTTCTTGACGCGCAGGAACCGGAGCAGGAAGTTGGCGTCTGCGAGCCGGGAGGAATGAGGGAGAGAAATGAACAATTACCGCCAACCAAAACACACTCTATTTCTTAATCCTGCACAGCCTACCGCCCCGCCCGCCGCTGGTTCCTTGAGGTGCGCAAACAAACTCTAGGTGAAGAGAGACGGCGCCGGGCGGAGCGCGTCCGGATCGGCGCCGGACCAAACGCTTGAGTCGCTTCAGCGCCGCGCGACGCGACGCACCATTCGCACGCGACCCTGGGGGCCGGGGAAGGTAGGCAAACAACGGCGGCCAGGCGGTCTGGAGGTCGAGCGGAGCGAAGTCAAAGTCTCGAACAGGTCTCGAACCTTGGGGCGCCCATAGCGGCTTGGTCTCTGTCTGAGGGAGGGACTACTGCTCGCTGTTCACATCGTGACTTGGCGGCCCTAGGACACCAAACAGTACGACCCGCACCAGTGTCGATACCGCGCGAGCCTACTGAATAAAGGCACGGCGTTTGAGATTGAGTAACAACCTTGCCGAAAGCAACAAGCACGGTTCCCGACGGTTGCCGATGAGCCCGAAAACCGATAAAAATAAAATAAACGACTGCCAAAAAGAACAATGGCGACTCGGAAGCCCGGGCTCCTCTATTGCCTCTCCCAGTTAGAGCTGCGACGAGGCCGTCTTAGAGAGGCCGTCAGGTCAGGAGAGCTGCCTAGTTACCCCCCCCC